GAAAAGCACTTGAAGTGAATATAAGTAATTCAAAAGCATTAATATTTCTTCATTTCTAGCGAAGCTTTAGAATGAGCCATCAACCAGATGACTACTGTTATCTGAAACGATTTTTTTCTCCACCTACTCAATTTTAAAATCAAGCTAGGAAACGTTTCACCAGCCAAAAATGTACTTTTCGATATTAGAAGTTGAGCGAAAAAATTTGAGTCGAATTACAGATATAGCATAACTGTGGTGACTGAGCAACTTGTTCAGGATTCAGTCGTAGGTTTATATCACTTTCTAGATAAATACACATTACAAACAAAACAAAAGGTATCAGCTTGATTCTATGAAGACACTACGCCCTCTGCGAAAAGCACCTGACGAAGGAGGCTTATGAATATCCATGGCCTTTTTCGGGAAACATAAGCAAATCGCAATTTTTCATTTCTTGTTGATGATCCACTTTTAAATATCAGTGGGAATAATCCATTTGTTTTACAAGTGGTCGTCTATTTGCTGGGATATTCAAGGAAACACATCTTGAATACTTCACAGAGACATTCCTTAGTAACGAATCGGAAACTTCCGATGAACCCCCCCCGACTAGGATCTACAATGTAATACCCGACCAAAGATTTGAATTCGGTCATAAATGCTTGAAATACTTTAAACATTTCAACCTCTTGTTAGTGTATTCGTCTTGTTATTATCGAATAAAACGAAACTTATCATCAACCCAAGTAAACTGTTTATAACCGATATGACTGCTAGTTATTTTGTAGCATAAACACCTAAAGTAAGCACGGTGACAAAAATTCCAAGTTTTAGCTAGTTAAACTAACTGCATAGTGAACTTCATCCACTCAACTGAAGCATAAACTTAAGGATGATACTTTGAGCCAAAGTTAATTAAAATCTATCACAAATAAAGTATGGAAAATCACACATCAAATATCAGGAAAAGAATAAGAAACATATGCATGAATTTAGCATTTCAGTAACACAAAAAGAAAATATTCTAAGATGGAAAAATTAAGCCATAGATAACAGTCTACTGAAAAAATTCTCTCATGAGAGAGAAAAATGAAGAAAACGAGAGCAAGGGAAATTAAAAATTAAAGCATTATAACTGTGTTAGTAAAGTGATCAGTTCAATCAGTCTTGAAGTAGAGTAAGGTTTTGTTGATGGAACGGGTGTTTCTATCATAATTTAACCAACTTATGGTGGATCCGATTGGCACAAAAGTTTGGTTCCATGCATCCAAATATAACATTGTATAATGGTGAGTACTTGGGCATAAATCTAGGTAAGAATGAGGCAAATCGCAAAACCCTAAGGCGATAATCCAAGTAGTATGTTTGGTTTTTGTTGCACACTGTTCAGTCGAGGAGTGTTTTATGAAAACAGTAGCAGACTTACTCCAAATGATGGTTGAATTTAAGTAGAAACTCAGCATAAATGTACGCAAAACGTTATTAAGCTCTTAACTTTGATAATTTGATTTGTTCACAGCGACATTTCTTTATTTGATGAATCGAATTCTTGAAGCACCAAAATTTTATCCTTCTTTGAAATAAAGTCTAAATTTTAAATAGCTACGATCCAAAATTTGCTTTTTATCTGGTAGAAAGTTAACTTGCAGTGTGTTTGATGAAAAAACTTGTGAAATATATTTATGTTGCAGTGCATATTGAACTTTAAGCATTAACACTTTTTGCAAACGGCTACTAACAGAAGCCGTGAAAACAAACGAACTACACAACAGGTGAATTAATCTGGGGTATATCCTGGGCTACTAAATAACTTGAAAGCTGATTTTTTTCAGCAACTAAAATAAGAATTGAACTGTTTATAATCTATGACTCGTGGTATGTGAAGCAATAAATGGTTTCAATCAAACTTGAATAAACTTGCATGTCAAAGAAAAAGATAATTCGGTAAAAATGAAACCCTAAAGAGTACAACCAAATTTACAAGTAAAAACTTAAAGGTAACGGCATAAAACAACTTCAAAGACATGAAAAACTGAAAGTGAAGCGATGTAAAAACTCAAAGAGGGGTTGGTACTAGAATAAATTGATAGGCAACTCACAAACTGTTATGCACTGATATTACTCAACGCTTTTGACTGTCGTTTTCTACAACTGTCAGATTCTGTAGTAAAAGTGCATTTAAAAACTTAGTAAAACATCTTAGGAAATCTTTATGAAACTTATCTGTAATACTTAATTCTCACTTCAGAATTCACCTGGTGTACCGAACTGATAAAACCAGTTCGTATTTTCAAAACATTTCTCATAAACAAGCAGTTGAAATCGATGAATACAATACATTGATTATTCTGTAATCCCTACTTTTCGATAGCACAAAAAAAATACTCATGCAGACCAAATTATATTTTGTTATGTAGTGCACATGTTCTTGTGAAACATGTATGTAGAACTTTTAATAGCTATCTGAAAATATGGAGTGTAAATTCACTGTAAGTTCCCCATGGGCAAATTAATGTTTAAAAATAGTTTTGATTGAGTCAAATGATTATTTGCCATAGTAGTAGTAGTTGTTGTTGTTGTGGTGGTGGTGGTAGAGATTAAAGTAGCGTTAGAATAATTACTGACTTTAGATGTGCTCCAGTCGATTTGAGGATAAAACGTGATTTCTTAATTATGCGGTATGCTTAGATAATATAGGATATTTGGGGCTCCGAGAACAGTTTTGATGGTGTTATGTTCTCTGACAGAAGTTTGCACTGATGATGTTGTTTTGAATGACGACGAAAACTCCACGGTTCAGGAGTCCAGCTCAGAGAACACAACACCATCAAAATGCAGCATTCGTTTACCAACTTTATTTGAGTGACTGAAAATTTCAGTTGTGGAAGTATTTATGAAAACTCATGATGTAAAAGCAGTTGCCGTTTTCGTCTACACTGCTTTGATTCCAATGCTAAACCATCTTGCTCTACTTTATTCAAAATGGTTGAAATTAGCCAAAATACTTACCTATGAGTTATGCAAGTAATCGTACCAATTTCAGAATACTGTCTGGTGTAATAAACTTAGCAATACAACCTACTTGACGAAAGATGACTCATATATCAAACTCTGTGATTCTACAGTGAAAGCTTAATTACTTGCAACTGAAGAACGATACTCTGGTTACTTTTACTTGATTTACTTAACTTTTTTCATTTGTGTGAAGCATGATAACTCACAATTGTATAGTACATAACTTTAATTCATTCAGTTTCAATTTAGGAATACATTTGATTGGTACATTTTGTGTACCCTTAAGTCGGCCTACATCTGTAAAAAAAAGCGTGTTAATTGGTACAGCCTCCTTAAATAAGCTGATAAATTTCGAATAATGCAGGATGAAAATTTATGACTTAACTACAAAGTAGATGTTTGGACGTTTTCTTTAGCACACTAGTCAAACTTATTTTACATCTGTTGATGAACACATTATCTGAACTCCGTATTTCTAAGTTTATACGCATGCAAAATGCTTACCATTTTCTCGACAATAAACCCCAAGTGGAATTGCTTGCATCAAAATATTTCAAATCTTTAACCACTTCCTTCTACTTTGTCCCTATTTCCGATAAATTTTAAATTTCTGGATACAACATATCATGAATAAAATTAAATAACTATTGTTCAAAAAAGTAATAAATATTATAATATTGACTTCTGGTTATCCGAATCCAATTATTATTAAATTATTTCACGTGACTCAAATTACTTGAAAATTTTACTCATCAAAGGAAAATATCTATACATGATTGTCAGTCTTGTAGTCAGTATTAATACGTTGCACTGTGCACGTGAGTGTATACAGATAATTGTTACTAGTTAAAGTAATGTCATGAATATCGATTACTAGCTAGTAAGCGACAAAAGATTTACTGACAGCAAGACATTTAACAAGTCTTGACATAATGTATGAGAATTAAGATAAGCTTCAACTACAGCCTGCTTAGAAACAAGAGTGTTGGACAAGCAGTTCAAAACGGTAAGTATTATACACTTGATTATTCTAACTCACTAAAATATTAAGAAACTTGGAAAAGTAATGATATAAGTATGATCTCCAACAGCAAAACTGTATATCAAATACAAAACTATTAAAAATACAATACGATTGAATAAGATGGGTTTAGAACCACAGGCTAATCACCGATTACATTGAAAGAATTATAATGACTAGTGAAATGTACTAGATTATTTATTTGATGTAGCACATAGTGATATAGTATAATTAACCTGATGACCTTTTGAAGAGAATTTATTATTCATATTCATATCATGGTGTACCTTTGAAATCTTTGAACATTGTAACATAGGTACCTTAACACTGAAATTTAATATTTACCACGCTTCATTCACAGTCTCTATACTTCCTATCATTTAAATGTTTCAAAGACTAACTGTACACTATCCCTCGTTAAATATCAATAGTAATACTGAGGCATACATTTATATATATATATATATATATATATATGCAATTACTAGTATTACACAAGCGTGGTCATCTTTTTCTTGGTAAGTGTAGCACCATTAGGTTTTCCAAAATGAAAAGACTTTGATGAGTATTCAGTCAGGATGAAGTGAATTATGTGGAGATTAGTTAAACTTACATTCTGTTTTACAGATTTTTTTCAGATCATGATCATATTCTTAACAGTAAGGCATATAAAATCCTTTGAGGTTAAAAATAAGTAAGTGGTGTCAATTTTCAGGAAGTGATATGAAACAAAAACTAAAAAACACTTGATAATAGAAGTGTTTTCCTCAATTCTCACAAAATTATCTTTTTCAAGAGATATGCAGAGTGAAAGTTATTTCATATGAATCATCAAGCATTTTCTTTACGAAGGAAAAACATCAATTAAGCGTTAAAACCCTAACCAAAGGCCCTTTCAAATGTATTTTTTCATTTACAACATTCTTTCAATATGTCAGCATATAATTTCATGGCAAAACTAAAAATGCATACAATAGCTTACCGTGCGATAATTTTTCCCGGAAACTATTTATACAGGAAAATTTCATCGGTGGTACATGTGCTTCTGTGAAACGTTGCTCTACTTCATTGAAATTTTCTTCAAAATTCACCCATCGCGCAGTTTCCAACCAAAGGACTCGAAAATGTGCAGCTACAGGCATTTTAAAGATGGATTCATCAAACTGCAATCCCCCTTCAACTCTTGGTACCAATTCTTGAAGCTCGATAAACATCTGAGATGGATACGATCCAGTATGAAAACTGAGTTTGCATGCATCTCTGTAGTCTGAACTCCCACTATGTTCCTCTTCCACAACTAGAATACACCAAACAGTAAGAAATCTCATAAGGGAATGAAAACATCGTTACAAATTTCCATGTTTTCATAAAATAAATAAAACAAGTCTACAAGGACATACTTTTTAAGCAGCTGAACAGTAGCTACGACGTTCCTAAGTTATAACATACAACAGTTAGTTTCTTTATCTCAGTGCAAGTATCGTTCTAGTTGACAACCGTAAAGACTAAGTGGAATGCAGTGGTATCCAGTTAACAAGTGTAAACCGAACTAAAAGGCAATCATTGTGTATTTTTATGCCATCTTTTGATAAAATTATCAACGAGAACATGCCTTATTCTGATAGCTTTTTAAACATTCGGTATAATATAAGCAGTTTTAAATTAAAATTGCTGAGTTTTGTCTGTCTATCCATTGACTGTAATATGTTCCAGTCTACACACTTAATTCCTTGTCTTTCTTAAGATTACTGCTCTTCTTTGCACAGTGTATTTTTTTGTGAAAAATTATCTGTACTTGGTGCAAAACATCGGTTCAATTACAAACCTTTGAAAACAGTTAGTGACACAGAAGCCATCCATAAAGAAATGAAAAAAACATTAATGGTTGCATACTTTTGATAAAATTTTACAACTTCACTGAAATAGTAATCAATCAAGGAAATAAGATGCTGTGAACGAATTTCAGGGTTCACCTTGCTAAGGCAGTCTCAGCAATGTACGCTTACTTCAGGGAGACAAAATACCTAGCATACTGAAAGAACTTTAAGATTTTCATCCTATACAGTCACTTAGTGGTTAATATTCATTATTATCATTTGTTTTACAATTACAACACGTTTTTGTAAGTCTGTTGATGTAAGATACAGGTCCTACAACAAGTTCGAAAGAAAACAGAGGATTCAACATTGATTTTCTTCAGAAACTATGATGATTAAGTCAGTAAATGACTATTCCTAACTAATTTATACCAACTGAAGAGACATCAGTTTTGATGGGAGGCAGTTCAAATAAAACATCATTATCTGATGGCCATCACTGAAAAGACCTACGTAAAAGCCTATTAAGTAGACTCACTTGGAAACAGAAGGCCGTTTAATGTCTATATCACTGCAGTCATCTGACAGAGGTTATAAAATTGTTCCGAGTGATCTTTCAGCCCTGAGTACGATAAATACTATGTATCAAAAGATAGCCTATTACTTCTAGTCATTTAAAAACGCAAAATAGTACATAAATATTGAGGCTTCAAAAATGATATATAACCATTAATCTATCGACATTATAAGAAAACTGAGTATTACACAGCACAACCAAAACAATTACCATAAAGTATCCGATCTCGTTTCATTAACTACACTAAGTGCAAAAATTGTTATTAATGTTTAACAAAGACGTATGTATTTTTCTTTTTAGTATAAAAACAAGCAAATAATCCATCAGATTTTGCTACTGTATAATTTATTGTCATGATGCCTCATTTCTAATTTTTTATTATTAATTGTATCTGTAAATAACCTTAGTCTGCACGAATTCACGAGGTCGATATACACACATACAGTCCTATGATTGTGACTGAAAAATCAACGATAGGCTCTTTTAACAAATTATTGCATGTCTAGCGATTTAAGTTACTTTGGCAGTGCGTGGGGAAATGATTTCTATAAGCATTCAAAGTATACATTATATGTCTGCTGTACAGTCAACAATCAGTCTCACTAACTTAAAAAAATTATAATAGGTGAAAACGTAATATGATCAAATGTCTTCCATAGCAGTAATTATGACTACATGGCATAGAGAGAATTTATTTATGAAAGTAAATAACAAATATTCAGAAGCAGAGATATTTTTCGATGATGTCATTCATTCCTAAGCCAGTGGAAAAGCAAATATTGGCTACTTTCGACGAGTATTCAAAATGTATACATGTGTGTTATGATTACTCAGTTTCCTAGACTTCGTAGCAAACAAAATAAAACACTATTCATATAAATGATATTCACACTCTGAAATTATCATCTCTGTTTACAGGAGTCAACACCAATCAAAACATAACAAAAACTCCATGAACAACATCAGATCTCGATAAGATGTTGTGTATATTTAGAAGTCATCAACACGCACATCAATACAGAAATGGATAGGAATTATGAAAGTAGTAAATGGAATTAAGAGAGGCGACGACTCCAAACAAAACTTGGAATGAATGATCATGAGAGTAAGAGAAAGTGATCAAGTTTCCTTCTGGTACGTAGATCAGCGTTGACGAAGTGAGTAGCTAGCGTTTTGACGATGTGAAGACTGTGAATGATGACGGTGTTCACGGGATTCCAACTTACTTTAAAAAACTCTGAATACTTAAATACCTTTAAGCTGAATGACATTGCGTAGACAGTGTGTTCAGAAACACATACAGTTTTGATTTTATGCAATAAACTGCCCTTCGATATATTACAGAAGGGCTGAGATAAGGAAGACATAATCATAAGTATGACCCAAGACTGCGTCCCAAATATTTTTTTCTTTTTCTTTAAATTCCATCAACTGAGTTCTTTATCACTTTTTCAACTTCAGTTATGAAACCTGTTTCACTAGGCGGCCCGTAGATCTTTATGAATCCCTAATTGCCAAAAAATATTCAATGTAAACACAACCATTTGGTATATTTCAACAAACTAAACTGCTACAGTTTCTGACTGCTCCTGTTCAACTTACTGTTATAAACAAAGATTTTACAGTGAAATTCGCCATTTAAGTATCCTAACATGTAGGCTTTACATGAACAGTGCTTTCAACTACTAAACAAACAGCAGAAACACTGGTTAGAAGAGACACGGAGTTTTCTCTGTGTTTGTAACATTACTTCAATTAACCAAGGATCATGCTGGATTTCAGTGGTAAATATGAACAATGTCATAAACGAAGAGTTTTTCCTAGTTTTATAACTGCATAAGACGTCATATAAAATATAGAATAGGATATAACACCAGAATATTGGCATTGTGCCAGACAGCAATTCCATAATGAATATGCCCACTTGACAAACATAACCGAGATGCATCATTACCTGTTACATGACATTTCAAACTTCAATTATTCCTCACGGTAAAATCAAAGAGATCAGAGTGAGTTCTGGTTTGATTCACAGAGATATATTACTTCATCTTATTTAATTTGAATGGTAGTGCAGCAGAGTATGAATAAATCTGCGCCACTGTGACTTGTTCACGGCTACGTCACCAAGCCTCAGCAGCCATTCACTAGCATTATCTCGAGAACCTGAGCCAGGTCTGCACCTCCTCACACGCCTAATTCCAAGTGTAGGAGACTTCATGGACTTGTGTCATGTCTTGTTTTGGCCGTCGTGAGCCTTTCTTCAAGCAAATTCAACTTCGGTTAACATTGCATTGTTAAATTAGGTGGTGGTTCGGCATGCACAACACATATGTCCTAGCCACCTCAATTTTTGAAGGGTTGAAACTTCAATGACTGATCCGCTTGTCTTGCTTGGCACAATTAGCACTACCTCGACACTACTCACCCGGTGAGCAATACTGTGAAGCCCTGTAATTTTCCTGTATTTTATACTTCTAACGGCTGAATATTTATAGAAAAAAGATAAATGCAGCATAGCATGCTCGTCTTTTAGTAGTTACTCAAATATCTTGCCATTCGGCACCAGAGATGAAGCAAGTTGGTAAATACTAGACAGACACTTTTATCCGAGCTGAGATTTCTTCAGTGTCCTCAGTGAGTCGGACTAACTCAACTTCTCAGCAAGTAAAGTGCTTACCAGATTCTACAACTTAGCTCAGGATACTTGAACTATTTGCAGACCAGTCCTGAAGCATCACCTTACATTTGAAGGGTGAAAATGCAAGTTAAACTATACCCAATTTTCTACCTGAAGGACTTGGAAATTTGGTATTTCATAAACTTCTTTACGTAAAAGGAAAATGTCATCTACGTACGATGATTCAACTAGATGCCTTCCAAAGAGTACGTCGATCCAAATAAAGTCGAAGAAACTTAATGCCACGTTCACTCAACAGGAGTGGGGATAGCGGACATGCTTGATGGATAACTCTGCTTGTCGACATTTCGGATAACAACCCTTCATAAGGGTTGATTTTAAGTAGAGGACTTTGATCAGTAGAAGTTACTTGCTTGGAATTCACTTCACAACCCCACAACACATCTCAATCTACAGAGTTGAATGCCTCCTTCAGGTTAAGGTGTATGGGAAGTATTGGTCTCCGGTAAATATTCGTATATTCCATAATCTGGTGAAGAGTTATGGTCTGATCAACACATCTTTCTTCAGGGTTCAAGTCTATCTAGTTTTCTCAAGTGTTTTGTTCTCGAGCTCCTGTTCGATATCGAATAACAATTGGGCCTGGTATCTTGGACACGATGTCAGTGGAACTGATTTCCTTATGGTTGTCACAAGTAGACCTTCTTCTGTTCTTTTAGACTGAAGTAATTAACGGCTTGGCTTGGTCTGATGAAACTACCTCTGATTTCATTTCACTGTCTAGTACCTGGGTTACCATGCTCAGTAATTTCCTATCTGATTCCTCAAAAACGAATGGTGTCAAACCTTCATTTTCTGAAGTTTTGGATTGTTCCAAGTTTGAAATAGCTTTCTCAACTTCGAATGCATTCGCACGACCGACATCATCATCCCATTCAGGTTCGGGCTGGATGTTGTAAACCTGAAACTTTGTCATGGGTGAGTTAAACTTTGCTTCAAAGTGTTCAGCGCAACCTGGTAACTGTCTGTCATCTGAAGTTACCAGAGACCGAACCTTTTCGGTAATGGTTTCTCTACCCATCTCCTTCTTGCTAATATCATTTATGAGCCTGAATAATATTCTAGTACTGCCTAATGCTGATAACTTCTGCATCAACTTTACGTTTTCCCCTTACGTTTGCTCACAGTCATCGTGAAAACTCTTTGTCTGATTACGTTTGAATTATTTTTGCTCTTCCTCGTAGTCAGAGTCGACTAAAATA